ATCAAAATAGAATTAGGTGGCATCTACAAAGTCAACTCACGAAGAGCCTCAAGAAGGACCATGAGAACTGGCGGGCAACAATAGCTAGTGAAATGGAAGTAGCGGATGCATCAGGGAATAGTCAAAGACTGTTCCGACTGACACGCAATACGGGAGGTCGGCAAACTCCAGTTAGTGAAATAGTCTGCGATAAGAGTGGACAAGCTATTCACAATGGGCATCAACGACTCAATCGCTTGGCAGAATACTTCAGCGAACAGTTAAGCTGGCCTACCTCTAGCCAGGTTACTTCATCCGTAACTGAAGCTCTGTGGGCAGTGTCGTGCAATCCTCTAGCAGAAGCAAAAGTTCAGTCTTGCATTCAAGCTCTGAAGCGAGGAAAGGCAGCAGGACCGGATGAGCNTTCAAAATGGAGAGTGATAACCTCGTAATCACTATTACTACCCTAGTGCGCAACATCTGGACGCAAGAACACATTCCTTCATCTTGGGCTAATCACTGATCGTTCCCATTTTCAAGAGAGAATCTCACAACGATTGCGAAAACCACCGCGGGATCAGTTTGATCCCGATCATCACCAAAGTGTTATACTTCGACGAATGACGCCTTTAAGAGAGATCAACATCCGTGAACAGCAAGCCGGATTCCGGCCTGGCCGTGAGTGTGTTGATCAAATTTTTAAGTTGCGTCAGATCCTTGAGCTGCGTCACCCTCACCGTCGGCCAACGATCGCAGCGTTTCTTATCCTGAAAGGAGCGTTTGACTCTGTTGACCGCGAAGCTCTGATGGGTTCCCTTCTTCGAAAAGGAATGCCCCAAAAGTACGTTGATCTACTAAGTTCACTGTACTCACATACCTCCGGTCGTGTAAAGGTTCACAACGTTCGTCACCATCATCGGCGTTCGTCAAGAGTGCTCTCTCTTGCCGTTCCTGTTCAATTTCGTCGCAGACGAAATACTGGAGAACGCACTAAGTGGACTGCAAAACGTAGGCATTGAATGGACAGCTGCGATTTAGAGTATACCGATAACATCGTCAGTCTGTTCGAATGTATGGAGGACGCGCAAAGCGCACTTGATAGACTAACAAGTGCTGTTACCAAATTCCGTATGTGCTTTGCAGCTTCAAAGGACAAAGTGATGCTGCAAGGTTGGATGCTACCCACTCCCGCTTTGAAACCAGGAATTACTTATAATGAACTGCTTTTCTTACTTAGGTGGTGGCGTGACCAATGACGGTAGCAAAGCAAAGGAGATAACCGACCGCATTTAGAAGGTTGGAGCAGCATACACAGGACTGAAAAACGTTTGACGTAGACGCGACGTTTCACCGAAGTTGTAAGGTAGTGTATATTATGCTACCGTTGGTTCAGTTCTGCGTTATGGTTGTGAGACCTTGAATTTGCGAGTGGAAGGTATCCATTGACTTCGATTATCGGTGGTTACATAGTTTAGTCCACGTGGGATGGAGCGAACAAGTTAGTAGTTTGATAGTAAGCCGTCGTGTTTTTGGGAGTTTATCAGG